ATAACATTATAGTAATAAATATTATAATAATATTATAAATGTATTATATAATTATAATAATAGTTAATTATAATATTATATATTATATTATATAATATATAATATATAACTATATATATATATATATAGTTATAAGTTTGAAAACTTACTTGAAATTTAAGTTTACCTATCGGTGGTTTGGCATAAGGTATTCCACGATAAATATAATATTTCACATTGTCAACAATATTTTCTTCTATGACACCTTTTATTCGACCTTGTTTAACAGTCAACACCGGTCCTAGTTTAAGATCCATGCTCTTGCTTCATAAAATAAATGAGTTTTTAACGAACTACACATACACACACACACACACACACACTCACGATATAACTAATAATGTTTATGTGTATAAATATTCGTAGAACACAATAATAATACTTCTTGTTCCATTAGTTCGTCGTATTTCAATGACTTGCAACGTACTTTAATCCCATGTAATGTTATCGTCAGTAGAACAGCTAAGAAAAAGTGGGTAAAGGTGGGGGAAGCGGTTTAAAAGTAACGGGAGAGTCGGATACATCTTATAACTAACGTAAAAAAACAATCTTACGTGTTCATGTTACATAACAGTGATCAATCAAAATTATAATAGTTGATGTAAATAATTGTCATATTAAATTACAATATCGAGATTTTCTTTTTAAATATATCATTTATTGAATAATCATATATACAATATATTATAATATTATATATAATAAATAAAAATGAATAATCTTCTTATCATATGTAATTTTATTATTAAATTTAAATATAATTAATAATTTAATAATTATAATTCAATTAAATATAAAACATTATATATATAATATATATTATATATATAATAATATATAGTAATATTATATATATTAATATATACAATATAATATTAATTATTATATATTTTTATATTGTTATAATATAACTTAATAATATTAATATTATATAATATAAATATATATTTTAATAAATTTATAATAATAATTAAATATAATTTAATTTTATTTAATTAAATTGTAATTAAAATTTTTAATTAATAATTTATATTTATTTTTTTTTATTATTATTCTATATATATAATATACTCTAGATTATATAAAAATATGATATATTAGATAATATATTACATTATTTGTATGATGATTTATATTCGAAGTAATAA